CTCTTGTTGCCCAGGCAGGAGTACAATGGCCCAGTCTTGCCTCACTGCAACCTCCGCCTCCCGGGTTCAAGCGATTCTCCTGCCTCAGCCTCCTGAGTAACTGAGATGTCAGGCATCCGCCACCACACCCAGCTAATTTTTGTATTTTTAGTAGAGATGAGGTTTCACCATGTCGGTCAGGCTGGTCTCGAACTCCTGACCTCAGGCAATCCACCTGCCTCGGCCTCCCAAAGTGCTGGGATTACAGGTGTGAGCCATTGTGCCCAGCTACTTTTTCTAATATTTTAAACTACACTATACACAGCCAGTTAACTTTGGTAATTATATTATCTGCTGTTTGTATTTTTATCAGTCTTGACTTCTTTGTTGGACTCTGAGGTCCTCAAAAACAGGGGTTATGACTATCTAGTTAGTGCCCTGTTTGGTTCCCCATAGCTATGCCAAATACCCACTGACCTCCCCAGGGGACGATGAATGATGAAAATTCAAAGAACCTGAGACTGAGCTAATAGTTTCCTTCTCTGGCCACCGTTTTTTAAAATTTTACCTTCCCAAGTGAACAGGGGTAAACCTGGCCATCTTTTAACTAAAATTACCAGTAAGCAATGAGGGGTTCACTTCACTCCTGCCTAGTCTAGCAAAGGTGCTAACAAGCAAGGAAACAATACAAGTTGGTAGAACTGGGATGATAATGAAATCAATGAAACTAAATAATCAACAAGCTACCATGGAAAAATCTATAGATGCCTAACATAGATTTGGCTCTTGATCAATAGGTGACAGCTCAAGCCACCTCCTCCATGCAACCCCTCCCCCTGCTGAGTCCATTAGAAAACCCTCCCTACATACTTACCTGAGGGCAGCTTTGTTGTCTGGATGTTCAGAAAAGTGGCTGGTGGGGAACTTGCTTGAAGATTAATATAGCTGGGGGAGGGTTTTGCTCTACAAAGAGGCACAGCATTAGCTTCCTCTTTGGCTGGAACTAAATCAGAGGTAACTAAATCAGAGCTCATTCCAACAAGGGACAGCCATTCTAATTAGATCCCTGCACCTGGTCCATGAAAGCAGGTGCCCAGGCCCTGCCTTGAATATGTTACATATCAGAAAGACACATACGACAAAAAGGAAATCGTAATAGGATTAAGAGAAACCAAGCAGGAGTGGGATAAGCTAAAATCTAATTTGTTTACAAGTTCTTACTGATACACACTACATGTTTGCGACTATACTAAATCCTAGCGAGTACATGAGATATGTTAAGACGTGGTTTCTTAGATGCTTATTATCTAATTAGGAAGACAAATCGCAGGTGAAACAGTGATCTAACAAGACGAGGACATAAACAATGAGTCTGATAGTCTGGGGTGAAAATAAAAGCCTTTTATCTGTTAGTTATACTATGTGATTACATGTAAAGGTGAATTTTTTTTTTTGTTTTTTTGGTTTTTTTTTTGAGACGGAGTCTTGCTCTGTCGCCCAGGCTGGAGTTCAGTGGCGCAATCTCAGCTCACTGCAAGCTCCGCCTCGGGTTCATGCCATTCTCCTGCCTCAGCCTCCCAAGTAGCTGGGACTACAGGCGCCCGCCACCATGCCCGGCTAATTTTTTTGTATTTTTAGTAGAGACAGGGTTTCACCGTGTTAACCAGGATGGTCTCGATCTCTTGACCTCGTGATCCGCCCGTCTCGGCCTCCCAAAGTGCTGGGGGATTACAGGCATGAGCCACTGCGCCCGGCCAAGGTGAATGTTTTTTAAAAGGGAGAAGAGATCAATATGAGTAGTGAGAGAACTCTACCTGCCTTCTGGTAGAGGATATTCACTAAATCTTAAAAACTTGAAGTGGCTGGGCATGGTGGCTCATGCTTGTAATCCCAGCACTTTGGGAGGCCGAGGCGGGCAGATCAGCTGAGGTCAGTTCAAAAAGTAGCCTGACCAACATGGTAAAACTCCATCTCTCCTAAAAATACACAATTAGCCAGGCGTGGTGGTAGGTGCCTATAATCCCAGCTACTTGGGAGGCTGAGGCAGGAGAATCGCTTGAACTCAGGAGGGAGAGATTGCAGCGAGCCAAGACGCCACTGCACTCCAGCCTGGGCAACAAGAGTGAAATTCTTTCTCAAAAAAAACAAAACAACAACAACAAAAAGCTTGAGAAGCCAGGCTATACTGGTAAGACCACAATCAAGCCCCTCTCCCTAACAAGGATTGGCCTGTGACCCAATACAGGCCAATCATGGTATTCCCATTCCCCTTGGAACTGTGACTGAGCCAAGGGAGTAGGCACATGAGGTAAGCTGGGCCAGAGTCATTCCCTGGGATCAATATATGGATTCCGTATCTAAGAAATTTACTTTCTTCTGATCTCCTATTCTGAGAAAATGTATGGTTGGGCCCAGTGAAAGCTATATGGCTACTACACCATGAGAAGTGGATAAAAGCAAGAGATCAGAGACAAGAAAAAGCATAGGAGATAGATGGATACACAGACACCAAGAGGCACTGAATCTCCAGTTTTAGTCCCTGAGGCCCTGGTTTTTGCCACTCTTCTTCCCATTATTCTGTGAGCTACTTCAGCATCTCTCCCAACTGCACAACCCCTGAATTGCCTTTTTGACTTAAAGAAGTTTGAGTACAACTCAACTCTCATATTAACATAATCACATCTGGACATATTGAATCTGAGGTGAGAGTAGGAAATGCCAATAGAAGTGCCTAGAAAAACAGCCAGAGAGCTGGCACCGGAGCTCAAGTGAAGGGTCAAACTGCCAGGCCAGCCCCAAAAAGAGGATAAAGAAGCTGCAAAAATACATTAGCTCTCCAAGCTAAAAAACAGAGAGAGAAAAACTGAACCTTCAAAGAACTCCTCCTCAAGAGTCTAGAAGATGAAAAGGAAGTGGCAAAGTAGACAAGGGCAATGGATGGAAAGTCAGACAGCTGGAACTAGGTAAGAGTTAAAAAGGCAAGACAGTAGGGAGACAATAATTCACTGTTATAATGAAATCAAGAAAGGACGGAAAAACAATTCATTTTCATTCACACACATAAGAGACAGCTAAGTGCCTGCTATGTGTCAGTCACTGTGGATACCACAGTTTGCTAAACAGAGGTGGTCACTACTCTGCTGGAACTGACAGTCTTGCTGTGCAGGCAGTCATTAGGTGATCAAGCACACACACTATTACACTTCAGTAAGTGCTATGAAAGCAACTGACCTAGTCTGTAGAGCTGGAAAACATGTCCTGAGGAAGTGATATCTCAGCTGGGATCTGAAGGATAAAGAAGGGCCTCTTCATAAAAAACAAGCCTGGTGGCAGAAGTGTGAAAAGTAGGTTGTATGAAGAAAGATGTCTTATTCTTGTTCTTTACTCAGAGGGCAACAGAAGGAATGGCCTGGTAAGAGGAAGAAGTGCTTATATGTGGGTGCAAGGGTGAGATGCTTTCTGTCTGGAAGGTCACTGAGCCTATGAAAACTGAAATCTGTTCTCTGTCAGTCACTCTTGGTGAGGAAAATATATTTTATTGGTTTTGCTATTTTTCTTTTGCACTGGGTTACTGGGTTTGTGGATTTTCCAAGCTCTACTGGTAGGTCATCCATCTTCTTTTCCCTCCTGCTCCGGAGTCATCAGCTCATTTGATGGTTTGTACAGAATGTGGTAAGGAGACAGAAGCTGAAACTCAGGTCTCAAGATTCTTCTCAATAATGTGTTAATTTCCATGCAAAATATGTTAATTCCCATGCAAATGCACTTCAAAATAATTTGAGTCCTTCCTAGACATATGAGAATGCATTTTGTTTTTTTTGGAGACGGAGTCTTGCTCTGTCGCCCAGGGTGGAGTGCAGTGGTGTGATCTTGGCTCACTGCAAGCTTCGCCTCTCAGGTTCATGCCATTCTCCTGCCTCAGCCTCCTGAGTAGCTGGGACTACAGGTGCCCGCCACAACGCCCGGCTAATTTTTTGTATTTTTAGTAGAAACGGGGTTTCACCGTGTTAGC